ATAGGCCTTCTTATGCCATTTTCATATATAAATCCAGGTCGGAGGATCCCAAATCAAATATATCCAAATTCACTCTCTTAATTAACAGCAGTGTCCATCCTGAACAGATCAAATTTATCTACTGAATTTCTTATGCTGTTAGGGAGCCGTGAGAAAACATGAAAGGGCTAAAGTAATTCTTTTTGAGGTTCAAATTGAAAATTTCAAGAAACTATGTCTTAATAATTCCCAAGGGAGAGAAGAGTTCTTCTTTTTACCTAGTTATCATTTCAACACATGGTTATGATTTACTTTATGGTACGCCAAAAGAAGGAAAAGAAAAACAGTCAACAGTTGGTTTATTATATGGAGAAGTAAAAGGGAATCGAATGACTTATTATCAACCCTCCACCAAGAGTCAGATAAAAAATTTGGCTTCTTGAATTATTTTATGAGCTATCCTATTCCCATGGCAACCTACAGCGTAGGTAGCGTGTCAATTGGATTGGATTTGGTCCAATCCGGTCCAGTCTGATATGAGTCCATTACAAATGGACCTGATCCAATTCAGTCCAATGAATATTTTGGACCGGTCCAGAGATTGTCCAAATTTGTTTAAATTCCTGTTAATTTAAATTGGTTTCAACTCAAATCTGGTCCATTGATATGTATGTTCTTATCTTCTATCAATGGACTAGATATTGGCTCAATCCAATATAAATTCATTATGGACGGACCAGGTCCAATCCGATATGTTATATTGGTCTGTCCAGTCCGTCCAAATTCAATATATTTTATTGGTCTGTCCAAATGGATTTTGACTTGGATGGACCGGTCCATTGGCACCCCTAAGTGTAGTGTTGTTAGACTAATGTGAATAGTTTTGTTTTTGTTAAAAACAAAAACAAGAATTGTTAAAAACATATAAATACAGAGATGTTTTTGATGTACAGCTGCAAAAATTATAAAGTGGGTGAAATCACATCAGCGCCCCACACACGCTCTACATGCACATCTCAAAGTGCATTGGAAAAATCTTCCATATTTGTCATTGGTAAATATTTTCAATGTACAGTTGAGATGTGTTGTGACACATTGTAGGGCACACCCTGTGGGGTGCCGGTGTGAACTTGAAGTGGGTGTGAGTACCTATTTTATGAGGAGCAAATCTGAATTCATGAAAAACATAAGGACAATTAAACCTCAATACAGTAAAAGAAAAACTTAAGTAGCATAACATCTCTCAAGTCTAAATATAGTTAATCATATGAAGCGTATTAGACTGTAGAGGACCAGGCTCTTCAAAACCCAGTATTGGGATAGTCTAGGTTTTAGTGGACCAGGCATTCTAACGATCCGGCCCAATCAAACCAGTCCAAGCCTGTTGATACTGAACTCACTTTTCTCATGTCTAATAAGCAAGGTTTTAAAAAATGATCTAGAATTAGAACCGTTTTGGCCATCGGTTTTTAGGTCAATGGTTTGATTGTCTGGTTTGAATAGATGGCTTGTTCTAACTTACAAAAAATAAATAAATAAATAATTAAAATAAGTCAAAACTATTGAACGGATCAAATTGGTCAACAGTTCAATAGCCCAGATCAATAGGTCATTGACCAAATCAATGGTGTTTTTTTTGCGAAGGACCATGTTAAGGTTAAAAAGGAATAGGTTGTCTAGACAATTCTCGAGCCAAATAGTCCAACCATCAGGATCAACGTGGTTTGAAAACACTCCTAATTTAAGTATTGTTCTGCTTTCGTCATCCATTACATCCTTGTATGCTATTGGTTCTGATTTATTTATACCATAAGACGCCCTTCTTAATTTGCTGACTGGAGACCCTGAAATTCAGGTGCACGATCAGACGAGCCCATGTTACCCACTTACCCCTGGACCATGGCGTGGGAGACTAGGACTAGCCAGGCCTTACTTTCTAAGCATCCTACCTAGTCTCGTAGCAATAGCATAACTTTTCCTTCCGTCAATTTTCTATTCCTCTCTTATTTTCTATCAGCACAAATCACGGCCAATTAAAAAGGAAAATGTTATTAGAAACTGTTTCAATTAGGGGTGCATTCTACAACATGAATGTTTTTTGTTTTTATTTGTTTTTGGAATTGTCATATCAGCAAAAAATAAATAAATAAAGACTCTGTTTTTTTTTTTCAAAAAAAAAAACAAGTTGATTTTGTTTTAAAATTAGTATATGTTTTTGGAACAAAAAATAATATTGATTTTTAAAGCAAAAACAAATTTTTTAGTATAGAAATTATATGATTTATGTGGAACAGGAAGTTGAATAATCAGATGAAAACATATTTTTGAAATCAGATTCAAGAACTTGTTTTTTATTTCAGTTTTGAAAATTAAAACAAACACAACCAAGAACATGCTTTTCGTGTTTTTGTTTTGAGAAATGACTTATTTTCAAACTAAATAATTTTGATTTGCTTTTGAAACCGGCAACAAGAAAAACAATTCATGTTATAGAATGTCCCCTAAATCTTCATCCATGCGATCAAGCAAATCCTAACAAATGCCCTCGCCTCGATTAATTTGCCCCAAGTTTGGCTAAAAAATGTAAAGTAGGTTGGGCCTTATAAACTAGGACTTCTCCATTTTATTTGGTGGGTAAAAAGGGTTAGTGGGTTGTAATTAAGTTCGTAGACCGAATCTAAATTCCTTAGCTAATAATGGTTAATTTTTTTTCCTTTTTTATTATTTGCCTTCTATAATGGAGTTCAAATCAGCCCCCACAAGATAGCTCCCCACAATGTCCCACAGCACATCCCCGCCTGTGGGGAACAATATTGTGGGGGGCTGATTTGGTCTCTCTACGAGCATAAATTTGTCTCTAAATTAAGGTGTTGGATTTGGATTATTGAAAGGGTTTGACCACACTAAGTAGAACGAGTAACGTTTGGTCACTCCATCCTTTAATTATTAGGCATCGGTTTCAATTCCATTCTTCAGCTCATGGGCTGGGCCCTTGTCTTTAAGGTCCTGATGCGTGAAAATAGACGCGCACATGTGAAGCATTTCTGTAATAACTGGGAAGAGAAAAATATGGGTCAGACTAGTCCAAAACTAACAATGCATGAAGTTAGCGTCAACCATATCAAGGTTCATTTCATAATTAGTAGAGTCTCATTATTTTGAGCCACCCCATTACCTGACAAAAGGGAGACTTAAAAAAGAGAGAAGGGGTCTCTTTACACACATAGGGGAGGGGGTAAAAGGCATAAGCCTATATAACCATACATTAGGGGTGAGCAAATGCATAGGTTTTATCCGGAATTCAATGGAATCAATCTTGAATTGATCCTACCCAATTTTTAGTTAGGGTAGAGTCTGGTTTCAAATCCTTGGAACCGATCTGGAGGGTTGGCCTTGGTAGAACTGGCCTTCAAACCAAACTTGACTTGAAATAAACCCCAAAATATTTTTAATGATATGAAGATTTGAACCCAAACACTCATGTTACAGAAGTCATGATCTCACTTGACCATTGAGTTACTTAAGTGATTTGACCATTTGTTTTTATTATAATATTTGAATATGTATAATAAATAATATAAAAGGTAATATTTACAAAATTTAAATTATATGACAAATTTTGAACCATATATTAATATATTATGATAATCTACATATTAAATTATTCAATTCAATCAATAAAGACAATATAAGTGTAAGTACGGTGGTAAGGCAATAGAGAATGGTCTTCTTGAAATACAAAGATGGGGTTGATCTCGAGTCAAAGTTATGAGTAGGCTTAATTCTCTAGAGAGAGAAAATTAGGGAGTTTTCGGCTAGGGAATTGTGAGGGTTCTCGTGTGTTCTGCGGCTTGTATCTTCTCCCTTTTATATAAGAGATCCCAAGACTTTAGAGAGAAGAGTCCAAAAGAGATCTTTTCCCATTAGGGAAGGGGATCTTAGATCATCTCACGTCAACCATCAAGTAAACTCCATTGGGGTTTCACCAGGTATCTAATGAGATCTTTTAAGAATAAAGTTTCATTTTCCCTGAGGATTATCGCATAACACGGGTTGACTACATCCCTTCATGGGTTCTCTTGTGGCCATGTGTTAGGGACAAAATTTTAGTCGACTGACGTGTTTAGGTATCTTAGTAGCCATCCTTGAGACACCTTGTTATAACTTGTTGTGACTGCAAGAAGTGTAAGTTGTCTGTGAATAGGTGTTTAAGCGTTAGTCACCTGAACAATGCCCATCATTTGCCATAGGCCTGTGACATTGTTCTATGATTATCACACTTTTTGACTATCATTTTATGCTTATCGCAAGTCCTAGATGACATTTTATTCTCATCTCAAGTGCATGACCCTTGCATTGCCTTTGTAAAGTGTTGTTGTGTTGTTGCAAAGTTATCTTAGTCGTTTTGGTACCCTAAACATTATCTATCGTCTTGCCCGACTTGACTGTAGCATTCTTCCCGTCTAGGGTTTCTCCATGCAATTCTTATCTACGATTTCTTCTATGATCCTCATGTTATTGACTTACATATACTTACAATAAGTTTTAAACTATATATTATCACTATTGAAAATCAAGTTTTTAAAGGCAAGGTTTCCCTTTTTTTTTCCTTCTTTTTTTTTTGAAAGGGGAGAGTAAAAAAATAACAAGTTTCACGGGTAGACCTTGGAACCAACCCCAAATTAAACCATTAAGGCTAGAACCGACCTTCACAAGGTAGGTTCCAGTTCCAAAAACCTGGAACCGACCCCTATAAGGTAGGTTCCAAGTTCTGCCATGGAACCAAATTGAACCTACCCATGCTCACCCCTACCACACATGGGACTAGGCATTGGTCAAGTCGTAGAGGGCCTTTGATTAGAGACATTTTAAAGGGCATTTGTGGTGCAGCAAAATAACAATTGGAGCCCAAGCCCAAGTTGAAGCTAAAATTGCTCCCGTTGGACCAGATATTGCACCCCCATCTTTGTAGAAGGTTTGGCTTATCTATTTTGAAACAAAATCTTAGACCATTTAGGGGATTTCCCATGAAATTGACCCCATTGAGTGGGTTTGATTTCCATCTTTTCTTGGAATAAAAAAAACATCAATACATTCTTCAATATGAATTGATCCTCGTTATCTAAGCGGGTTTAATTCTTAAATACAGATATACTTGTATGATTAATAACCAGTATAGATTGGGAAGAGGTTTCTATCAGTCCAACTGGTGAGTGGTGTAATCTCTATACGTACATATTCCCTGATTATCACTATATTTACCGAAATCCAATGTTAACCCAAGTATGAAGTGCTGTAACTAGAAATGGATCCGACAGTTTCAGCAGTAGCTCTAGCAATATATGTGGCACTGAACTCCAAGTAGAAAATCTGCTTAGCTGACCTGCTCCCCAATCAAGTCCAAGCCCACAACAAGAAATGACAACCCTTGAAACAACAAGAAATAGAAATGCACACCATGAGCTGATAATAGGCTTCTTGCAGATGCAGTGAGTAGAAGAAAAGCAAGCGCAAGCTCCTTTCTGTAGAGCTTGTTTCTCTTACTTGCAAGAGGGACCTTGTTGGTTTCCTTTAATTTGTTCAACAATGTCAAACCAGATTCAGAAGCCCTCCTTTGTAGGTGCTTTTGATTCAGAGTTTGTAATTCCTTTTCGGCCACTGCTAATAAATCAGACTCTGATGATCTCCCAGTCTTTTTAGTCACAACCCATTCATAAGCACTTCCCAATTGAAACAGACCTGAAACCATGGCACTGAACTTTGTCACGGACATGGTGTTCTCAAACAGAAGGTATGGTACTATGAAAGGGAAAGACTTGGGGGCTGGGAGAATGTTCAGAAAGGACATGAAAATGGGAACATAACAGATCACCCAAGTGGGCAGTTCAGCCTCTGGTATAAACATTGTCAGTGGCAGGATAATGCAAAACAAGGTGAAGGAGTAGAAGGGAAGAATCAGTTTCCTTAGAAGGAAGAAGAGAAATATCAAGTTGGCCTTCTTCCCAATAGATATCTGCACCAACACAAAAACAATTTGATCAGAATTTTATCTTCTGGCTTTTAAAGTTAAAGATGGTTTTCAAATGTAATGAAAACGAGAAAACCTTGGAAGTTATAATACTGGGAAGACATAATCGAAAGAGCTGCATAGGACCCGAATGCCAACGGTGCTGTTGTTTCTTGTATGCTTCATAAGATTCAGGTAGTTCACAGAGTACCTTGACATCATTGAGGAAGATGAACTTCCAACCATTGAGGTGAGCCCGAACTGCGATATCCATATCCTCAACGGTGGTTCTCTCAAGCCAACCTCCAGAGTCCACAAGAGCTTTGATTCTCCACACTCCTGCAGTTCCGTTGAAGCCAAAGAAGTTGAGGAAGAGTCCATTAACCTGCTGCTCCACCTCAAAGTGGAAGCATAGGTTGATGTTTTGGAGCCTTGTAAGCAAGTTCTCATCCTTGTTCACAAAACACCACCGAGCCTGGACAAGACCTAGCTCAGGATTGCCCTGGAGCGACAGTAGTCACAATTTAATCAGCATGTGTCCATTGGTAAGACCACAGAGATGGGAATTGCTTATCATGTATTAATTACCTTGAAGTGAGGAATTGTTTGCTTAAGGAAATCTGGATTTGGCTGGAAATCTGCATCAAATATGGCAACAAACTCGTAATTCTTGATGTAGTCACAGGCCATGGCTGACTTGAGGTTGCCGGCTTTGTACCCAGTCCTGATGAATCTGTGTCTATAAACTATTTTAACCCCTTTCTGGTTCCACGAGTTAACTTCTTCTTTAATTAGAAGCTGTACACTCTCTTCATCAGAGTCATCTAGGACCTGAATTAGGAGTCGATCCCTTGGCCAGTCCAATTGACAAGCAGCAGAAATGGATTGTGCGTATACCTACATGTGATACAAACCTCATCAGTTCTTCAGTAAGCAATTTCAGAAGATGGCATAGAAGACAACTTGTAAAGGAAACAAGAAAGTGAGCAACCAAAAAAAATGTACAGCAGGAATCCTAAAATAAGAGGATTCCTGGACTTCACCTTAAAGAGGTTTATAGTTGAAAGATTTGTAGAGACACACTCACCTATAAAAGTGAAAAGGTCAAGGTTGACAAGCCCGCAAGCATGTTGCAAGGAGATTTAAATGAACTATCATTCGAAAAGGACAAGTTTATAATGCACTCTAATTTGAAAAACAAAGATTTGAGAAGTTGGTGGAACTCAAACTACTGTTCTATAATACACCACTGTTTGAAACTGAAAGTAAATGTTCACTGTTGAAAGACCCACCCAGAAGTTTATTGCAAACTCCAGGATACAGTATATTTCTGTATGGGGGTTCTAGATTTTAAAGGTAACAGATTTTCGAATTCATTCAAAGTTCTCTAATTGGAAGTCTTTTTCCTCTTAATCTGATTCCTTCAGTCTAGAACAGAAAACCAACCAAAGGACAGCAGAACTCACCAGATTTTACTTATATTACATCTATGAGATCATAAACTAGGCAAATATACACTGAGCCAACAAATGCTTTTCAGAAGAAAATTTTAGGAATGCAATTTGGATTAGTTTTCTTACCTCTCTCTCATTGCACATGGGAATCTGAACAAGAACCATAGGAAAACCAGAAGGGTCCTCAATGCCAAATGCATCTACTTCTACCGTGGGCTTTAACTTGTTATATTTAATCCAGAAACACCCGATACAGAGAAGTAGTCGATCGAGTGATTGAACCATGAAAAGTAAAATGCAGAATTTTGAAAGCGCCATAACCAGGGGAGCAATATAATCAGCTCTGAAAGACAACCAAGCCAGGTAAGACCAGTGCACGATTCCCTGAACCTCCAATGATTGAATCAGACCCAAATCCCAGCCATTGAGATAGGCAAACAGTTCCAAGAGGAGAGCTGCCACTGAAACAGCAAGAAAAGCTCTGATAAACCTCAACAACCTTCCCCTGTTCTTGGGCTCTTCTGTTCTTCTCAAGAAGACAATTCGTTTGTTAGCAGTAGCAAGCTTTATCCAGAAAGTTGTGGCTAACCAGCAAAGGCGAGAAGCAGCTCTGTGAGCTCGGAGGAGAAGAACCCACGTAAACTGCTTAGTGTTTTTAGCCTTTGCTTTTTCTGGAAATACTGATGAAGAACGACCATCGATCTCCATTACAGAGAAGCTGTTGGGATTCTCCATTGTTACTACAAGTGAGCAAGGAGCCATCTCTTCAAGAGAAGTACCAAATATAAAGAACTGAATGACTTTCTTTTCGAAACAAAAGCTGTAGAGCAGATAATGTAATCTAGAGTATAAACCGAGCCTGAAACATCATTATCCCTGAGAGACATACGAGTGGATGTGGGTTAAAATTTCTGTACATACTTGATCTTGGAGAACAAGTAATAGAAAGGAAAGGGTGAAATTAGTTACAAGATTCCCGCAGAGAAAATAAAAAACAAAGATAAGTCCATCATTTCGTTGGAATCTGGATTTTGAACTTTGAGAGAGAGAGAGATTGTCAAATGGGTGGCCGAGGAACTGGTTAACTGAAACATCAAAGCTTCAAGGGAAAAGAAAAAATAAGGCCTGAAAAGAGCTGAAACTTGAAAGCAAGAGAGTACAAAATAACCTCATCTGCTGGGCTTATGCTTACCGTTGAGACTTGAGAGGCAAGTGAAAAAGCTAGCTAGTGCGTAGCTTCTTGTTCACTCTCCCAGTGTTGAGAAATGGAAGGTCCCATTTCATCCATTGGTATTTATATAAATACAGAACTGAGGGAAGTGGCAGCAAGATGGAGATACAGCCAAATTACAGATATCAATCAATCCCCTTCCCCTCAAAGGCCCAAACAATACCCTGAAAACTGTTGCTAACTTGCTATTATTAATATTATCGAGATTTCCAATACCATGAGTGGGCCCCATATGTGAGGTTCCGCTTTTAAGTTTTAACCATAGGATACAACATGGTGGTTATGGACGTTAACGGTTGGAAAGGTTCTAGTCTCATTCACGTGAGTAGGTCCCTCGTTGAGTCAAAACTCAAAACTACAGAATCATTATGCAGGAAAATGGTAAATAATCTGTGGGGACTGCCACTCCACCCTTTGCTTTTTGCAACCTACGTTTGGCATTCCTTATTATAAGGATTTATTTCTTTTTTGCAGTTAAAATGCCCCCGTTAACACTAAGTTTTTAACTGCAGAAACGAGATAAGTCCTTAAAATAAGGAATGTCAAATGCAGCCTAAGTTGAATAAAAAGTACATCCTTTTTTAGAATGCACCACTGTTTTGGTTGAATGGATGGGCCTAAGGCACCATTTGGCAAGAGCGCGAAGACAAATATATAGAGTACATTCTGGTCCATGCAAATGAAAGTTGGTTTAATTTTGCATTGATAAATTTACTTTCTTACCAATTGATTTTTAGTTGTGACATGTACAAACACAAATCCCAAAGACTGGAGTATATCATTTTAACATTGATCAACTTTGAGTGTAAAGGTTGGATGCAAAATTGCAAACATTGTTCTCAATTTGATTGTAAACATGTCTTAGAATCTGTATTTGCTGTTAATGTCAAGACACAAATGCATTCTTGATAAATGTATATATACATTTAGGCTCTTTCCAAATGGAGGCTAAGGACTATTTACAAAATATATATATATATATATACGTTAATATGCCTACGATCTCAAATATTCTGAAACGGAATCATTCTGGCCATCGATTTCTGGGTTGATGGTCTGACCGTCTGTTTTGAATGGACGGCCGTTTTGACAAAAAAAATTAATTAAAAATAAAAATAAATGGACAAAAACCATTAAACGAATGGACAGTTCAACTATCTGGGTCAATGGATTGTTGACTTTTTCAATGATTTTTGGCCAAAGACCGAGTTTGAAATAAAAGGGAATTGGTTGCCTGAACAATTCCCGGGCTGAACGGTCCAACCGTCCAGGTCAATGATGGTTCGAAAACCATGCCTAAAATATCATTTCTATTAGATGGTTACTCAAAAATGGTGAAACAAGCACTAATGGTAAAACAGTAGAATACTTAGCTTGACTAGAATGAAAACCGTTACATAGGCAAGGATAAAAGCAATCAATTTCCTATTAACCAGATGGGGTCTGATGTTGTTCTGCGATGGTTATTTATGTACTTATGTACCCTAGCAACTATGCATTGAGCGTACACACTGCCACAAGAGAGAGGATAAGGCTTGAGTTTGGGTGTGAATGAAGTTGTTTTGGGCTTAGACTTTTGGTACTGTCACATGGGATGATGGGATGAGAGGGATTCCTGTCCTACTACAACTCCCAAGTGATCAACTGCCCCAGCCTTGTCTGTACATCTCCTGCTCTCAGATACTCAGCTTGATGTATGAATTATGATAATGTACTCGGTATATAAACTTGTCTTTGTACCCCACAGGAGTTCTTTGCCCATCTCCAATATGACATACACGAGCATTGATCACGACCATTGAAAGCCAATATTCAATGCTGACCATCGATCAACGAAGTTTTTTGTCAAGTGAAGGGAAGCCCACAGAAGACAGACCTTTGCTGGATTAAAGGTGTCTCAATAAAATGACTAGGCATTGTGAAATTTTGAGTTATGACCTACCATGTTAGTCGGCCTACATAGCTGTACAGTCAACATTGATTGGCCATGTCTGATACGTGTACAGAGTCCAAGTCGAAACAGGTTTTACATCGGAGAGGAATAAGGGGCGGGTACAGAGTAGGGTTGATAACAAAACATTGCTGCCACATTCACACAGTCGTACATCGGATTCTAGCCAGTAATGCGTTGTGATCAGCACATTCATATCTAGACTCTTTTATTCACCTGAGATCCGCTGATGTTATCCAATAATTATCACAGAGAAGTTGCAGTTACACAGGTTTGATTTCATAACTACATATTTGAAGGGACACCAAGTGACCATCTCAATTCAACTATGATGCAGATTGCCAATGGCGCCATTCCCCTGTAAAAATGATGGGTCATAGTTGTACTGTGACCTGCTGTTGCTGGTGAATTATCAAATTCATGGGTGGTTTTTGACTATTTACAGCCTTTTTTTCTTTTGCTGCTTGCTGCACTCTAGCATTATTTACCTAGTATACACATTTGTCTATTTGGACCATGGGCATCACAAAGACAAATAAACTCTAAGTCCCATGGTAACTCAATAACAGATAAGACACGACCATTAAAAGCTTCGTGAGTTGACTTCAAGATAGAAATGACGATATCTAATATTTTGATCCATCAGCACATCAAGATGAACAGTTTGATTGCCAACTAGTGGCAAGAGACATACGGCCTTGAATTTGATCAATAGGCATATGGGCCACATGTATATGACATTTATATCATATGAAGCATGGCCCATGGGGAACATATCTCTATAGGTCATTCATGATCCATCATCACCATTGGATTTTGGAAACAAATACATTGTCCATGAAGTCGGATGCCTTGACTTGATTTTTTTGTTCCTGATGGCCTTATCCATTCTCCTACAGCCTTTTCAGCCATGCAATAGGAATATCTCCGTACCTATATACTTTATTTCATGGGGAGATATTCCTAATGCAATGCCATTAAGGCTATTCCAACGGGCCTTGTACTGACTGAAGCTGAGTTCTGGACCAATTGGCAAGTGGTCCAATTCGATTTGATAATGTTCTAATAATAACCACCGCCTCACTTGTAGTTGTATGGTTGCTAATTTAGGGGCCATTTGGTAAGTCTTTTTTGAAAGATCTTTTGGAAGTTTTAACAATCAAAAGATGATGTGAGTTTTTTGCATCAAGATCTTACTAGCTTGAAGACCGTTTAGTTAAGATGTGTCTTTCTGCATAAAGATGAATTGAAAAAAAGGCGAAAAGCTCAATTTGAAATTTCTTGAAAATAGCCCAAAACGGGTTTCTCGTATTTTTTCAAGGCTTTAGCCTTCGGTGGCTAAATCTTTTTCCCAACCAAATAAAAAAAGACTAAAACACAGACTGCCGAACTTTTAAAAAACCAACAGCACACGTAAAAAGACATGCCAAACGAGGCCTTATTTAAACAACCAAGATATGCCCGACCAGACCTTAATATCACAATTCACACCCGTGCACACGAAAAGAGGAAAAAAATTTCCGTATGTCACAACCATTAAGTTATCTTATTCATGTAAAACTTGCCCCATTCAACCCAGTTGCATGTTGGTACACCATGCCTTTAGCTTGTCCAATTCCAATGATTTCACTTTAAGTTAGTTTGCCTTGGTGAAAATGGGAATTGATTTACTTTTAACAAGCAAACTCAGGTCAGACTAGTTTGTACAGTCAAGGCGAATTGGTGCAAGGATGTTACAACATGAAAACAAATATGGATAAACTTTGCATAATCCATATTCTTGTTCCTTTCAATTGGTAGATGAGGGTCCATAGCATGCTGCGGCTTAGTCTTTTGACGGTCCGTATCGGTGGCTGAAGGAACATGACCATATGGGCAGCGGAGCATATAACCTCAGGAATGGAAACCATGCATATGATATAACAATAAAACTGAAACTGACAATTGGAGGAACACAGCAAGTTACATCACTGGTTGATTTTAACCCACACCGGCATCCCACCATCACCATGGACCGTTGCCACCGCAATGTTTTATTCATTTCATGAAAGTGCTGAGTGGTCTGTAGTCTAGATCAAAGTGGGTAAAGGGCATTGTCAACCAGATGAACAAAGCCAATGTTCAAAATCTAACAAAAACAAAGCACATGGGAGAATGGCAATTAGACGACATAATTCAAGATCCCGCACATGCATGGAAGCCGAGCACATCAGATAATGTTAAAGGGTGGATGGGTTAAGGAAAACGGAAGGCAGGTAGGCTACTAACAAAATGCCCCAGATGGATAGAGCATGAGTGCATGACAACTAAACCCGTGGATTCTGCGCCCAAGGTCTGCCATGGCCAAAGCTTGGTGAGAAGTAGCACTCTCTACCACGGAAAACAAGTTCACAGATCTCAGGGACGGGACCAACTTTTTTCTGAAATAAGCCAAAAACATTCTGCAAGTAAGTACATCGTTTCAAGTTCTGGATATTATTACTGGCTCAAACCTGTGTTAGCCACCTGGACAAGTTAAAGAGAAAAGCAGACCAATACTGCATTTTTTATTTTCATTTCGGCATACAATTTTGGTAGCTATAGCATATTCAATATGTTCACTTATTGTTTCAGCAAAAGTTGGGATCAGGGGGCGGCTACACTTATCATGGATAATTGGCCCAAGGACTAAGGCTATCAACTTTACCTGGTCATCTCATCCATCAAGTTCGAGTTCAAAATTGGATCCACTTAAACTGGATTTGGATCTAAAAATGTTCATTTTAGCTGATAATTCCACTAGGGAAACCTAAACAACTGCAAGCTATAACAACCTCTCCATCTAGCACCTACAATATGAGTGCGCAATAAGATATGTTTTTCCCTCCTTTTATTTGCGTTTTATGAAAACCTACCTGTTAACAAGGTCAGAAAAGCCTTGCATGAGTCCCCAGGCAAGATACTACAATCTGTCATATTCAGAACAGAAGGAGCAAAACAAAAGGAAAGAATAAATAAATTTATGCAAAAAAAAAAGTGACTTGGTGCATATTGTATACAGTTTATGACTGTGAATAAAAGGTTGCTTAGCAATTTTTTTCTTTTGAGGTAAACTTTGTTTACAAGCTAAAATACCCAGCCGGCACAGCACATACCTCAAGGCACAATGACCACATCATATGAAATCTAGTATGACTTGTAGTGGAGAGATATCATCATTGACCATGACCATGGGATTGAAATCACTTCCTTTCTAACTCAAGCTACAAATTGGTAAAGTAAGGAAAATTTCTCATCAACGTTTACTCACATTAAAAGATTCGATGTCAGTTCATTGTCAATAAGCCTCACTATTTTCTTTGCTCGCACATTGGCAACATGGGTTGCTCCACTAACATTTTCAGGGAGATATGGACGGCTAACTCACACTTCGTTTGTCACAATTATGACAGTTTTTCCCAGTGAAATGGAAGCCTGATCATAAAAGGGAGATTGCATAACCAGAATGCATGGGTTTGATAGAAAGGATGCAATGTTAAGCTTAAGTGGGTAAAGTGAATGTCTATTTCATGCATATACGTTAAGACTCATCTTCAACCTGCGAGAAAATGAAAAATGATATATATGAATAAACAAATGCAAGGTAATCATGAAGTCATGGTTTTTTTCTGATAAAACATTATCCCAGAAGGAAGACATGCACCTTCAATACAAAATTCATTTTATTCCTAGTTAAGTTACATACTATAAATACCCCCAAGGGAATGAGAAGTAATATCAGCAGTAAAACAGAGATCACAAATCTTGATAGACTTTTGTCCCTTTCTGAAAAACTTATCAAGCACATTCCAGGGACCCTCTTCTAAACTAAATGGATCATAGAACTACTACAAAGGTGGAAAAAAGTTTGGTTGAGTCACAAAATGCCCAACCCAACAAACTCCAAATTCAGACGAGGTTAGAAATAGCCAAATTGAAATTTACTAAATTCAATTATGAAAGAGACAGCCCCAACCCTAACCAATTGTAGATATCCTACACCCAAGAATGTAAAACAACAAAATCTCAAAAAAAGGAAAAGAAATGCCTACTATAAAAGGAAGAAAATAATTACAAATTCAGAAGAGACAAGAAAAATAATTATATACTTAAAAACTGCACCTTGCTGGTACAAATGGCAAACCCCTGATTTCTAATTGTGTTGATTAGTTGACGGACCCAGAGCCAGAGCCAGAGCCAGACACAGGCCCTACTAATCAGGAATAAAACATTTCCTCCTTAAATGTAAGAGAGCCCAGAATTCCACTTTGACATATTAAGGTGTGCTACATTTATAATGTGCAAAGGTTCCACTAATGTGTCTGTGAACAAATGTCCTAAAACCATTATCTTACTGATTCAGAGCAAGAGCATAACAGGCGGCACCTTAGCTTCATCAGAGTAAAAACAAACCATTTCATTTCAAAACCTTAATCCAGTCCTCTATGCGTAAAAAATTGAATTATGTTGTGGTAGTTCACCCCCCCCCCCCTCTTGTGAGTGTCTTATATGTGTAAGATATGGGATATGGATACCACCCCCTCATGTTATTCAAATCTATTGCTTTGTGAGCTTCACAGGCAACAGTCATCATTATAATTCTTTTCAAAGATCATAATTAAATTCCAAAAGAAATTTACAATCAAATGAAATTAATCCATATGAAGCATTTTTAGGAAAATATCAGAGAGATTTCTAGAGGTCCCTTTTTTTGTTGTTGTAAATTAATCGGTATTCTAGGAGTAGACAATTTTCTGTTTTTCTAATTGAATGTTCCAACAAAGAAATGTTACATTGGTATCCTTAACAGTTAGCACATCAGTTGATGGATCCTTTTATGAAAAGTCTCAGACATGATATTGATATGATAGAGGTTTTAATCATGCTCACCCCCTTTCCTTTTGGTACTTTCTCTCCTGTGTAGTTCATCATCTTTCAAATGGGATTTTATCATAGTACATATTTGTGATTAACTTTCAATTTATCACAAGTTTTAACTGACCAAATTGTTGTTATGGAATAGAAAAAAGGATGACAACATCAATTGAAAGACCAAATGCCTATATAAAAGAGTGAAATAGTTACTCGCATGCATGTGTCTGTATATTATTCATGCCACGTAAAAAAGAAACTAAAAAATGCTTATTTTCTACTATCAAATGCTAATTGTCTAGTGTTCAATACATTATAATAATCAAGATATTTTTGGTAGGATCCATTAAATCATCTCTCAAGTGTCCAGAAAGTGAGGCACATAATAAATTTTTAACCAAATGATTAATGTCTTTAACTGAGATGAAACTTAGATTTATAAAATATTGTGTGGAACCAACCCAATAATAGTTCCAAGATGGAAGTGTCCCACTCAGCTATTCAGGTCTAGCAGGTGAAGGGATGTCTTTTAGGGATGAACTTCTTGCCCTTCTCCAAGGATTAAAATTGACACACTTCTCCATCTGGACTGATGTGATTGTTGAAAGAGACTGCCAGGTGGTAAATGGATGGCTATCATTATGCACACAAGGCCTTGGGCCCTTACATTCATGATAAAGAAAGAATAGGATTTCGTGCATGAACTACTTGTTTGAGTGGATTCCCAGATCAGCCAACATCTTTGCTGTTGCCGACTCTTTAACAAAGACAGGTGGGTAGAGATGAGCCATTTTATGAGGGCACCAGGTCTGGGACCCAAATTTTTTGATCAGAAAAAGGTTGACAGAAATTTTATTAATAATAGAAGAAGGCATGCTTAGAGCTAGCTAGCAAGACCCAAAATACAGTCATGAAAACCCAAAAGACAGCTCCATGTTACAATTGTCTGCTTGCCAAGTCAGGGCTCCAGTACAACATTATTCCCTTCCCATGCAGAGAGTCAACCATGGACTCTACACTCCTAGGGATCCATTTAAATGAAATGTTCAAAGTAGTTGAAAGAGATTCTGCTTCCGTCATGTGGAGGGAACTGATCTATCACCCCTTAGCCGGCCAATTACAACTTCAGAACCCCTTCCAGTTCCAAGTTTCAAGTGTTTCAATGATACAGATAATCTTAGCCCTTGTATGATAGAACAATTCAGCATGAATGGTATTATGGTACCGGTTATATTGTTACAACCTCACCTAAAAGGTTTCTGAAAATGCCTCCATTTCGTAAGTTTCCAAGGTTACCAAGGTTGCATCCATCAAAATTAAGCTCGACTTTACGCATTGCAGGTGGTTCCCAATCTTGATGGACACTCATGAGATGAAAGAGGAGGAGAAATGCTGCCATTCCCTCGAGATGTTATCCAAGTCAAAATGCCTGAATTTCTCTTGTTTTCTGCCAACTTACCACTCTGGCTGAAAATAGATATACCACCCTCTCAGCAAGTTACAGTTTTATCTATATATTCTGAAGTTCCTTTGTTCCCATATTATTCAAAGGGTAGCTGCTCTGAAACACCTCCATGTGACCTTACCTCTTTTTCTTTTTTAATCAGTAAAAAAGAGATTTCATTAATATCAAGATCAAATATTACAATTAGGTGGGGGTTTTTTGCACCCTAGAGCAACTTTTTCATTTAATTTTTCCAAAACATTTTGTGCCTAGCTGTCCCTTGTTTAGCCAAGACATCCGCCATCCCATTTGCTGATCTTCTCACCCATTTAAAGACAACATCCATCTCCCTTGTTATGCTTTCTATTTCTCGAAAAGTATGTCTATAGATCAATGAGATTTGGAAGCTACATCTTGTCCATAAAATGACCACGTGATCTTACCTCTTCTCCTTGGGTGGGTTGGGGAGGGGAAGAAAATTGGGTCATGAACAAGCTTAACATCTGCAGGGAGTAGCTGCCTAACACCACATAAAGACAGGAAATGCTCACAAATTCTAGAGAGGCCCAGGACCCAACTTGTAAATTTTCTTTCTATTGAGGGATTATCAGCCTTTGGCTAACTTTTTGATGGTTCCCCGCATACCAAACTCCTTTAAGTATCAGCGGTTTTCCCTCTCTTTCTTTGACCATAGTAGTAAAATTCTGATTGATGTTGCTGATAAAAAAAGGTTGTTCCAAATTACCTCTCAATTGTCTTCCATGTTTATGGCATGGAACATCCATTTAGGTCTCTACCCCCTTCTCTGCAAGTAGACATATATACTTACCCACACTCTTGTATCTTTTCACATACAAAATATTGTTGTTTTTCCCTTTTTTTTTATTTTTTCTGAACCTCTGTCTCTGTCTCTCTCACATTTTTGTGTATGCTTTTGGTTGCGGCTTCAACTAGGAGAAAGACTAACTCATCAAAAGGAACTAGGCAAACTAGATATAAGTTTCTCAATTTTTATAAAGGCCATTACTTGGGTGGAAGCCAAGGTGACAAGGTGCTTCCCTATAGCCTATCTTTGCCTTTACACAAGGTACTCCTCTAATGCAGCAGAATGTGCTTGGTTATATTAGTTTGGAAGCCCAGCCAGAAAGAAGGATATGAAAGGAAGGAAGATATAGCGGAAAATAAGGATCTCATAGAATTCCATGGGAGAAAAATTGATGAAAACCTCACAGGTGATCAGTCTTACCAGATTTCTTATCTTCTTTTATTGTAAGGGGCATCTCTAGAATCTCTAATGAGTCAAGTTGAATGATATTTACCTACGGGCTTTTAAAAATAGAAGGGTCAACTTAAAAAGAAAAAGAAAACAGAAAACATTTACCACTCTAAACATACCTAGGGGGAACAGAACAAACGAATGAACTATCCAACAAACAAGCCAACCACCCTCCCAAGAAGTCCACCTCTGATCAACCTGACAGACCAGAAAACGACTGAACCAGCAAAGAAACTAGTCACCAGCAGACTACCCACCCACCTCCCCATTTCTCCTTCCTCCTCTAAATCTTGTGGACTTTACCTTTTGCTCAAAAAAATCATTAGGAAGTTGTCTAATCTCCTTGGGAGCATTTACAGGAACCATCTCACCAGCATGCTCCACTTCTTATGCTGCAAATTTTTTTCCAGCCAGCTAAGCTCTAGCTCTTTGTTCCAATTCTCTTAAAGTTGAGAGAGGCAACCCTTCTCCCCCATGAGAATTGTAATCAAGCAGATCGGTCTTTTTCAGTTTCAAATAAGATAGGTTAATCAAAGATGGGTAAGAAAGGGCATACCTAAGGACCTCAAGAAATAACCTAAATGCTAGAAATGTATAAATAATCTTCCACTTGTTGTAAAAGTTGGTGGCCTTGGAGCTGAGGTTCTCTCATGGTTCAAAGTATCGATATGCTCAATACGCAAAAAATTGCATATTGGGTGTTTCAAACAGCTAAAACATATAGTTAGAAAATAATCAAGGTTCAAGAATTGAGTCAGGATATCTGCAAGAGGGGTATTAACCTTTACAAGTGGTCAGGTGTCCTGATTTCCTGAATTTAGCGTATAGAGGACCAAAAAATACAATATGCTATGCCCAACCAGTGTTTTAAAAGCGAGACACATAATCAAAGTACTTTAAAAAGTCTATTAGCTTAATGGTTAGAGTGTCGTGTTTTTAACATGAAGGTCAAACCTTGTATTTTCAA